TCCTAAACTTTTATTTTTATTATTTATATTTACTATTTAGAAAAAAAACCGACGTTGACCAATCCAAAGTCGCCATGTGGCATGGTGATACCGTCTTAGGAGTCTCAGCGTGTTGATACGTCTCACGCCCATAGTCTCATCAAATCTTGGTTTAATTATTTTTTTATTCAATTTTTGTATGTGATACCTATGTGGGTTTTACTGATAAACATGGTCTAAGTATTTAAGTTTGACCAAACAAAAGTATAATATTTAATTGAATGAGTTTCTCAAATAGTGGATAAATTCACCCATATGATTCTACATGAAAAAACTCTTAGACAACCTCCATCGGTGGGTGTTTGTCAAAAATTAATTAAAGATTTCTTAACATTAAAAAAAATAAAAAGTCAGATTTTGTGTTTTTAAGTTAACAACCGGTTCTTAATTAAAAGGTTTAAGAATTCTTAAGAACTCGTAACGTGTCGAAGCATGATTCGTTGATGTTGTAACAAAAAAAAAAAAATTTGCGTTTCATGCTGATGTCAAATTCAGAGGAGAAACGTCGTTTTCTTCAATTCCTTTGCAACCGATCCCTAAAAGCTCTGGTGGTGGTGGTCTGATCGTCTCTGGTTCTAGGCCAATCGAAAGAGGCTTCTTTTCCAGTCTGATCGACAGGGAATTCATGTCGGGTCTGATCTAGAAAAGTCTAATGGCGAGGAGTCTTGTTCTAATCGAGTTGATCCTTGTGAGCGATGGTGGAGATGTGAGTGGGATCGAGAATCAATATCTTGATCGTCGATTAAAGGAACAGATCAATCGGAGAAACGGATCAGATCGGTTATCGTCGACGACGACGAATCATTATGATGTTTTACATGCTTTGTCGCGAGCTCTGAGAAAGACGGAAGAAGCATATCTAGATGCTGCAGATAAGATGCTCGACGAAAATCCTGAACTAGCTTTAATGGGTTCTTGTGTACTTGTGATGTTGTTGAAAGGTGAAGATATTTATGTGATGAATGTTGGTGACAGTAGAGCTGTGCTTGATGACAAGATTAGTTATGCGCGGTCTATGCAGAGATTAGCTATGCGCGGTCTAAGTGTTCCTAATCTCTTGTTTTGCAGAGAGTTTTTTCCAAGTCTCCCCATGTGTTCGATTCATGCTAAAATTCAGTTTTTGCAGCCAAAATGGACAAGAAACAAGAAAAAATTTCTATTCCTCCTCAATCCCAACTCAAAATTCGTCTTCTTCCCTCGCGCGGTTTCTTCTTCGGACAAGGATGGTTCAGTTTCATCCTCCAGACAGCAAAACCACGTATTGTCTCTTTTCTCTGAGAAATTGTATATGTTCATCTTCTTAATCACATTTTGATGTAATTCCAACTTATTGCCATGCTTTCGAATAGCGACATATGGGTTATGATCCTTCAGAGGAACTGTTTGGTGTCGATTTCAAACTCATTTTCTGCTTTAAGCTAGGATCCTGTGAAATCTTGTCTGTTTTACTTCTTAAACGGTTAAACCTATCATCACCTGTGTTTTACTATTTTCTGAATCTCTGGAGTGAGTTGTAAAGTTATATAATGTATGGTTCAGCCGTTTCTAGCCATTGAAAGAGATTGTCTCCATCGAAATTTGGCAAATGTCATCCTCAAGGACTGTTGAAGCAGATTGTTGTTTAGGTATGAATATTCATCGAGTTTAGGTGACGAGATTAGCTATGCGCAGTCTCAATCTAATGACTTTGGTATATGATTTTTTTGCAGCCTAAATGGAACAATGCGCTTCTTGGTGTCACATGAACGAGTTCGTTTATAAAGAATTGTGACAGGGACTTCTTTGTTTGCCAATGAATATGCTTGGAGTTTTGAAACCGAACCAAATGATATCTCTAAAAACATTTGTAACAAAAGTTTGCACTTAGTTTGATGCAAAATATATATTAAAAATATTGTTAAGAACCCCATTAGGGTTATACCAATGGAAGTGTTCTTAGATGAGTTTTTCGCTATTCAAGATACGCATGTATTAAAAAAAAAAATTTTATTGGTCAAACTTAGAAGTTTATGTGAAGATACCCACTATCGAAGATGGTCTAAAGATTAATAGTATTCATTACAGTTAGAACAAAACGCCAGGAAGTGGTTTTAGTCAAGGGTTTAACCCACTTCTGTAGCGTTTTTTACTTTTTTATACTAAATTTTTTCTTTTTCTTCCCCGTTAAAATTTGAAAATAGTATAGTAGATTCGTTGACAAAAAAAAACGTATTTATTAGAATAAGATACGAGGAATGTGGGTTATAGATCTCTCGATGGCTAACTAACTGGCCGAGGATGAGCTATCTCTTTGGTTTTGTCATGACCTTACCCTCCGTCCTTAATTATATGTGATCCCACACTTAACCACTTCGGGTTATCCTCTATATATTAATTAATAGAAGAGATACTATGTAAATCTAAAGAAAAATTTAAAAACTTTATTTCTTAAA